GTTTCCACTTTTCAAAAATTCTGAGAATATGATATTTTTCTTATTTTTTTTAAGCTGGAAAGTTTAGGCCAAAGTTTAGTTTTCATCTAAACTGAGTAGCATAGTATATCTTTTATCAGAATTTTGATTGTTGGAATTTTATCAGGGAAACTTAAAAATAAGTTGTTAGCTGAACTTTTTATTACCGCTAACTTGGAATGATAGTATGCTAAATAATTTTTTCCATTTCCTTATTTTGAAGTGAAAAATATCATAAGAAAATAGCAATGGTAGAAACCATCATTTTTATCCAGATGCTTACAATTTATTACTTGTATAGAGGAATAGTAATCTGATTAATCTATGTAAACCAAGACTTACACTTAATCTCACATTTTAAGACTAAAGTAAGGAACTTTTTATGGTTTTAGTAAGAACAAGGATAAATCAAATATTTCACTTAAAGATAATATAAATAACAGCCTGGGAAATGCAGAAGTCTGAATATGTACACCATGTATATTATGGAGAATACTGCCACCTTGTGTATATATGATGCTATTTTATAAATCTAAATTTTGTTTGGTTACACTAACTGAAACCGTACATTTAACACCATATGGTACTGTGATCAATGTGTAAGTATTTTTTTATGAAGTAAAATCAAACCTTTTTTTTTTTTTGGCAGTAGGGAGAGTCTTGTATTTTGAAGCTATTAAATTTGGTGTGGTTACCTCTAAGGATTGGAATGTCTGAGTGATCTTTCTGGTTAATTGACTTCTGGGGTTAGTTGAAAATTGCATTGTTCTATTTGAGTCTTATAGAATATTGGGAGATTCTTTTATCATTCTTCACTTTAATGCTTGCTTGTAGTGTTCTGGGATTATTCTGAATGGCAGAATTCATTTTACTATGGGGAGGTATAGAGCATCTGGCTTAGTGATAAGCTGTATTCCTTTATTTCTAAATGTTTTCCTTCAGGTCAAGTACAGAAGAGTGACTGCAATAATAACATATAATAGTGCTTTGAAAATATCAATGTGGTGAAAAAAGGTTCCTGGATTTTTTTTTTTTTTTAAACCTGAGCACATGACTTAGTGGGTTTCAGATATTAACTCTCATGAGACTGGGAGCGAGACTTTAGATGCTCACAGCTATATTAGCCTTGTGATCTTCCTGGGCAGTTTATTTATCTGAAAACTGGGTGGTATCTAGGGTTCTTTTTAGCTTTCGAATTCTGTGATATGTAAAGCTTACTCATGCTATAATGCCTTTTAGTGTACTCACTATACTCTGCTACATGGGAAGTTATTTTAAAATTTAATGTAATCACATAGTTGTGTTTAACTCCCTATTATGGATTAGTAATTCGAAGGGGATACATTAACATAAATTTAAAATAAAATCAGAAAATCAGACCCCTAGGAGTCTTTTATCTAATACATCACTTTTATCTAATACATGGGGTACTTGAAGATATCAGAAAGTTAGTTTTAGGGTAAATTGTATTTTAATTATGTACTGTTTATGCAAGATAAAACTGTGTTGGCACAAATATATTCCAGATGCTTGCATTTCAACTTCTGGGAAAGATTCCTAAAAAGTTGGTATAGATATTGTAAATCCCTCATTCATAAATGTGTTAGCTTTCTGTTACTGTGACAAATACCTGAGATAGTCTCTTAATAAGAGTAAAGGTTTATCTTGGCTCACAATTTTGGAGGTTTTAGTCCATGAACATTTGGTCCCATTGATTTCGTCCTGTGGCAAGACGGCATATCCTGGTGGGAACTGAGGGTACAGCAAAGTCTTTTACTTCATGGCTAGGACATGGGAAAAAAGAGAGAGAAAGGAAGAGATCCACAGACTCCTTCAAGAGCATGCCTCCAGGGACCTAATAGTTCTTACTAAAGGGCCCACCACCTCCCAATGGCACCATACCTAAGAACCAAGCCTGTGACACATGGGCCTTGGGGGTGGACATTCCAAATTTAAACTGTAGCAATGAGGAAGAATTTTCCAATTGGGAGGAAAAAGAAGAGGGTACATTATCCCACATTTGAAAACCTGGAAATTCTATAGGGTATTAACCCAATTTGAATTTAAGACCAAAGCTTCTTGAGTATGTCAGTCTCTTTATTTTGGAGGATATAGCAACAGATTTTTCCTGCTTACCTTGATTCATTTTCTCATGCAGTGCTAAGGGTAAGCCCTTGTGACTCTGTTTACTTTTTACTTTCGGGTCACCTGGGAATAAGATTTTTGAATTCTAGGGCCTGGGGTGGTGGCTTAGTGGTAGAGTGCCTGCCTAACATGTTCGAGGGACTGGGTTTGATTCTTAGCACCACATATAAGTAAATAAAATAAAGATTCATTAGCAACTAAAAAAATAGAAAGATTTTTGAATTCTAGAGATAATTTTAAGGAAATGATCCTCATTGTTAACCTACGTAAAATGCCAAGTTCAACATCTGTACTGAAATGATTTCCTAGTATCTGGTGGTTGTAATATCAAAGCAAAATGACTACTTTGATAGTTTTACATTTATTTTGTGTAATGCCAAACTATTTTTGTTTTAATTAGATACACATGACAGTACAGTGATCATGACATATCATACATTTGAATCAGATGGGGTATAATTTCTCATTTTTCTAAGTGTACAGATTGCAGTATCACATTGATCATGCAGTCATGTATATTAATGCAAAACTATTTTGTAGAACACAGAATTCATGCTATTTTGTAGAATACAGAATTCATGATAAATGATTAAATCCACTAATTAATAAAATGCATTCACATACAGATCTATGTATATAATTGAAAATATATTAAAGATTAATTTATTGAAATACACATTGTTCTAATATACATTATTTTGGAAATATAATTAAAATATTTGTAAATAGTACTTATAAATAGTACTTTATAAACATGAAGGAAATTTAATCATTAAAAAACAAAGTGAAAGATAACTTGCTTTTAGAAAGTATAATCTTAAGAAAATGGGTGTCAGTGATAACATTAATCATGAGGTTTTTCTGTAGGTAATTCCCCTAAACTCTTTCCCAAAACTTCTCTTTACAATGAAGTAGGAATATTGAGGCATTAGAAGAAAATATTGGGCATTAGTTTATAACTCACTCATTATGAATGCTTCTGGATTGATACTCTTGATGTATTTTGAATAATTTGTATAGGAACTATATTTTTATTGATAATTGTAATTTTAAAGAGAGCATTCTAGTTTGTCTCAGTTTTATGTATAGAGATTTTTAAAAAATATTTATTTTTTAGTTATAGTTGGGCACAATACCTTTATTTTATTTTTATGTGGTGTTGAGGATCGAAGCAGTGCCTCATGCATGCTGGACTAGCACTCTACCTCCAAGCCACAACCCCAGCCCCTGAATAGAGAGATTTCAAGAGATTTCAGTATATGTATTGACTTATCTGTATCTGGTTTAGTTCATGTTCCACTTGTTTGCAACTCTTGAACTAGAGCAAGAATTAGGGTTGTAATAAAATATTTGCTTGTCAGTTGTTATTTTTCTCTCCCCTGAGAATTATGGACCATTTTCTAATGAGCACATCTTTATTTTGAATTATTATTTTTTAAAGAAACATCTAGCTGGGAATGAGTCTGACTGTGCTGCTGTGTCTGATTGTTTTGAGATTTTTTTGCAGCAAATTGCTTTCTGGATAAAGAACAGTTTTCTTCAAATTATTTTTATCATAAACTTCATACTTCAATTTATAGTAAGAAGATTTATTAACGCTTTATTTTGGTAGCCAAGATGACACCAGGGCACTATGGTAAAACATGTAATAAAAACTGACTCTTCTGTGTGTTGCCTATTGTATTCTGCACAGTCTCAGATCTATCTATTCCTATGTTCTTTGTAAAATTGAGCAATTGCATCATTGATTTTAATGAAAATGATTTTTAAAACTGAAATATTGGCATATTAGTAATTTTAAGAAGCATGTTTTGGAGTACTGAAATCTGGAATAGTCATTAATTGTTAGGATATATAGGTAAGGGGGAGACTCCGAGTCTAGTTACTTAGAAGTTGAAGGATTTAGAAAGTTTGAGTCCAGTACAGAGATTTTTAATTTATGTTATAGAAAGTGTCCGTTACTAATGAACCTATCTTGTAAATTGGTCTTTTTCATTATAGCAGAAGATTAACAATTGTATTTTTTTCTAATATAGGTGAAACTTTATCTCCTGTCCAAGTGAATTCTTAGTTTTTTTTTAAAATTAATTTCTTCCTTTCTTCCTTCCTACCTTCCTTTTCCTCCCTTCCTCCCCTCCCC